TCTTTGCCAGATTGAACCCTGCTTCATCTACAAAAATGTATTCATGGGGCCTTTCCATGGAATCCATTTCAAACACTCTCTATATATAAAAGGGATAAATAAATAGTTTAGTAAGTCTTACAGAAAGACATACTTCTGCAAAGGTGTATTTATATGCACTCCTGATTTACATACAGTACAATATAGTGCAGTTACAGTAAAAGTATAGTACAATAACTGTAGGCTATAAACTTGTACTGTAAGCATCAGTGCTGAAAGTGTCTGAGTGTACACCACTTACTTGCACATACAGATATCGTAGATCTTTGACCCTTTCTGAATTGCACTCAAAGGGTACTCTGTACACTTGCTTCATGCGTACCCTGTTGCGATGGAGGACACGGGCAATGGTATAAAGGCTGACACTGTTGATTCCTTCAAAGTTTACATTGTCTTCTACAACTCTTTGCTGTATTTCACGCTGTCGGATGGCATTGTTTTGACGGACCATATCAACAATGAGAGCCTCTTGCTGTTGGGAGAACAAAGGAGTCTTCCACCCTCATTTAGTAGTCTTGCAATTCTACAAAAGGGAAAATGCACTTACAAATGTATACATACAGTAACAATAGTAATGGACATCACATTCATATGTAAAATGTATTGGAAATCTTTTTTTCTTTTTTCCCCAGTCCTCTTTCTATTGACAAAGTGATGTACTGTATCAAATGTATACAGTAAACTTTCAGTCGCATAAATTAGAAAAAAATTCACCTGTTCTCTTCTCTGAATGTCCTGATTATGGTGGCCACAGAGAATCTGCTCAAATTGGGTTGTACTCTTTGTCCTGCTTCCCTCATTGTCATTCCATGAACAAGAACATGGTCTATCACAGTTGCCTGAATTTGATCTGAAATTACTATTCTTGGTCTTGCTCTTTGTTGTCCTCGTACTCTTCCTACTTGTCCACCACCTCTTACACGAACTGTTCCTCCTCTGCCTCTCACATTGTTTCCATCCATTGTTGGTATCAACATTCAACGTACCTGGGCCACCTGTGTTCTCCGAACTGGCTTATATTCTAGACAACTGATTTGATCACATCATTAGAAACAAGTGTGGACAATTTTGAGTTGTTGTGTGTAAACGATGACAGCTGTGTTGTAGTTGTGTTTAACTTTTGCAGCATGTATTTACCATTTTGCAACACAAGTGCATCACAGTGCAAAATGTGTTTTAGTGAGTGAGAATGTGTTTAGATTTTTGCAAAAAGAGCGGATGAGATTTTCAAACAGTGTCTTAACTACCTGAACTTGTTTAAGATTTTGCCTACAGAGTGACTGATTAGACAAATGGGTTTAGGCCACTGAGCATTGGGGTCAGAAAATGGGGTTTAGTGTTTTAGCAATTCTGAAATACTGTAATCACATTACTGTAATAATTTATTGGGCCTTGAGTCAGGTCCTACCTTGTCTAGATGTCTTATGTGAATCGATATTTCCCTCCACCTCTACACATCATAATAACAGCACTAACTTTGTCAGTCGGTACCAAAATTGAGTGCTATCATACATACAGGTATTTTTGGTAATTACATTTTTTGACCAAATACAGTACGTAAACAAAATAAAACAAACACCAATGAACTATAGACTGATGAATTTTTAGTTCAACTTAAAACATTGCTAGTGACAAATGTTTTTGATCATTGTAATTATTGTATTGCTATTTTAATTGATTATGAGTTTGTTCAGCTGCTGCTTGTCATTTTCAATAGCATATTTTAAAAACAAAAGACTTTCCTCAGATGAGGAACATCATCAGTCACTGATAAACACAGAGGTGACGTAGTAGTTATCTCTGAAAACAAGATTGACAGGATTGTGTGAGTTGTGTGAAAATTCACAGCTAAAGTGTGAGGAGCAGTTAAGTTTTGAAAAGCTTTTTCCAACTTTGAACAATGAGCTCAGTAAAAAAAACAGGTGTGATTAGCTCATAGTGATTTAGTTTGATGGTGTTTGGCTTCAGAGGAGTGAAGCATCTCATCTCAGACTGACTTACTTGCACTTGACACTTGAGGACTACTGAAGAAGTGAGAATATTAAATGAGTGTCCTGGTCGATCTGTCGAATGAGTGTGTGCATGAGAGTTCAACTCAGCTTCAGACTTATATTCCACTTTTCCTTGTTCCCTCTTGCATTTGTCATAAAGCAAAAAAACATCTTAAAACATCCCAAAAAGGATTTGAGAAAAGAAGGAAGGTGGTGCAATTTCCTGTATTATGGCTACCAACTTCTCTGTCTCTCTCACATATAAACACACACACACACACACACACACACACACACACACACACCAGCCAGTGCCAATGAAAGATTCATGGTGGAGTGATGATGAAGTCGTCTCCTCTTCTGCTCCACTTACCCTGGTGGACAAATTCTGCCCCCCAACCCACACACACACACACACACACACACACACACACACACACACACACACCCATACACACACACTAGCATACACACCAACCCAGGACCTGTTAAGAAGAAAGCCAGCAGTGAGAGCAGCACAGCTGTGGGGTACTTACTCACCCTTAACCTTCCCAGACGTAGACACACACACACACATACACACACACACACACGCGCGCGCACACACTGTCTAGAGACGGATGCTGCAGACTGCCTTCTTGGCTGTCTAGCAAGCTCAATGTGTATGTGTATGTGTATGTGTATGTGTGTGCATGTGTGTGTGTGTATACAAGTATGTCTATATGTATGTGTGCGGGGAAAAGATCTTTATTTTTGCTCTGCCCTGTGGGAGTATCCCCATAAGAATAGGAAAAAACAAGTTTAGATTGGGTCTGTCATGATCAGGGTTTAGTTATTGGCTAGAGGGAGGAAGAGTCAGTAAATACCAATTTTAGTATTTTCAGCATTGATCACAGCAGAGTTTCTGTGTTGTACTTCTGTTTGAACAAACCAACATGTCCTCATACCTAAACAACACAATAGGTAATTTGCCATACAACGCCAAAAACGACATATACACTGACTTTGTCGATACTAGTTAATACCATAATTGAATTCCTGTTTTACTACCATCATAATTACTACAGTCACTAGAGGTCACTGCCCTACAGTAATAATATATAATCGTAATAAGCTGCTTGCATAGACAACCTATACAGCTGTACTTTGGGGAAGACGGTCGGAAATAAACGGTTTGTCCTGTAAGCTGACACATAACTACACATGTAAAAGCTGATAAATATGAAACAAAAGTAACATTATAAAATATAATGTATTAGAAAAACTACCCAACATTATAAAAAGTTGTTAAAATAAGCTCAATCTTGACAACATTGAAATACTTCTTACATGTTATTGCATCACCACTATTATTCCAATAATCTATGAATAATAAATATAACACTTAGAATTGTGGCCATTTTGCAAGTACTCCTGTAGTTTTACTTCAGTGAAAATTTGAATGCATGACTTTTCCTTGTAATGGGGTATTTTTATACAACGGTATTGCTACTCTCAATACTTCCTTCACTGTCTGGAATCAAACCAGTGACATGCAATAAAATTTCAACTAGCTTTAGTGCAGAATCAAAATTAAATTTATTAATGCAATGAAAAGGAATACACTGATCTCAATCTGGTTGTCAGTGACTCTCAGTGTACCTAAATACTGTCCAAAAACAAATGCACAGACTCACTAACATATAGCTACAGAACATATAGTGTAAGTGCGCGAAGAAAAAAAAACAAACAAACCTGGTTGCTACATATAAATAAAGGAGGCTGTATAAAGTATACTGTACAGAGTGCATGTCTGGTCAGTAATAAAAAAGGATTCCAAGAGCACAATAAATTATATATGCAGTGGTGTGAGAGGTACTCAAATCCTTTACCTAAACAAAAGTAGCAGAACCACATTGGAAAATCACTCCAGTCTAGCATTTCAATTGTGATTTAGGAAAGGTAAACAATAATTAGCTGAACATTATACACTAGCATTAATAGTTAAAGTAGCCTTATTGACTAGACTGGTTCCTTTCAAGGTTTTAAATTATTGATGGTTTAAGATGTAAGTGTCAGATTGCTTGACCATTGGTAATGTTTCGTACTGTTTTTGTCAAACAAAAACTTCATTACTCCAGTTTTGGGGAATTTCAAGCTTTCAGATCAATTAAAGAATTACACTGTCGCTGTGAAGGACTTGTTCCCAACCTGGCAGTCAGGAACCACAAAGCTCAGGGGTCACAAGATGTTTACTGATATAGGAAAGCACAATAATACATGTTTCTGCTACAGACAGTTTTGTTAATGTTTTGATACTTTCAACTAATTTTTATCTTTGTGAATTACTGTGAAATTTTAGACGTTTAAATTATTTTCAGTGTAATGTTTAGGACTGCAGACATTTCTTTTTAAGGGGTCACAAGCCAAAAATATTTGGAACTACTGGTCAAGAGGCTGTTTAAATTTTCACTTTCTAATACCATTTCAATTATTTTCTGTCATATGTCTAAAATACATACATATATAAAATACATATATATTTATGCTGACAAATATTTCTTAATGTTGGGAAGATTAAAGTGAAAGATGTTTCCCATTGTCATATAGTGCATCTTATAGGCACGGCAGTGCTTTGAGCTCAAGACTAATGTGAGCACGCTAGCATGCTAATGCAGATATAATGTTTTGTGTAACCATCTTAGTTTGGCATGTTAGCATTCTAACATTTGCTAATTATTACAAAAAAAGTACAGCTGAGGCTGATGGGAATGTCGGCCGTTTAGATGGTATTTAGTCATAAACCCAAGTATTGGACGACTTAAAACGTTAACCTGATGATGGTGTGTTTGATTAAAAAGTCATGGAATCAGCTAAGTTATTACAAATATCCTGAGGGAGACATAGATGTCTGAACAAAATTTCATGACAATCGATCCAATAACAATTGACAATTCTCTCAAAAACAGTAAAAAAACTGTCAAACCCACGATGGCATTAGACAAAAAGTCACAGGATCGCCAAAGTCAGTAGGATTGATCCTCTGGGAACCATTAATGTCTGTACTAAATTTCATGGCAATGCATCCAATAGCTGTTATTTCAGTCTGGACCAAAGTGGTGGAGCGACAGCCATTGCAATAGAGACATGCCGCAAGTGTTACTATTACTATAAACTATACACTTGTATAATTACTTTGTCTTTAACTACTAGTTATTTAAGCCTGGCTAGCTTGGTTTGGTTGTAAATGCACATGTTAAATAGCTGACATGTTCAATTATTAAAGTAAATTAATTAAATAATACAAATAAAAATTTAAATTCATAAGTCTGTGTCTTCCCCACATTGCCAGGTGAACATCTGAGGGTGTGTCCTCAGGGTCCAACCTGTTGTACAAGTACCATGGAGGAGAACCTTGGCGGTCTGAGCTCCCGCGAGACAGAGGGACTGATCAGAGAGGCCGGCAGGTCGCTGCAGGCTGCCTTCAATGCTCTCCACAGGAGCTTTGACAGTAAGTAGGATGTGCGTGTGCGTGTGTGTGTGTGTGTGTTTGCAGGATAGGCACTCATTACTGGTTAAGCTAAATACCAAATCTTCAGCCGTAGGCCCAGGAGAGAGTGACATTTATATGTTGTGTATTTGTGAATTGTTGTTTGGGGCAAGCTCTGACTGTGCTCAGTGCTCAATACTGCAGCTTTACTAGTGATGGTGTGTGTGTGTATGAGTGTGTGTGTGTGTGCACTTACCAACCTATCTAACAGTGGACCTCGACGTCGTTACACACCCACTAAGAGGGGACTAAAAAGTGAACAGGGGACATTTTTTAGGTCCCCTGTTGGACATGCTTTAAATCATGCTAAAATCATGTCTAAAACCATCTGGTAAATTTTTTAAACTATTGTCAAGAGGGGACTGCAGGTGTGTGAGTGTTTAAGTCCATACTCAGCAGTGCCTCTAGTGGATCAAGCAAAGATTTTAACGACTCATTCACACACGTCGTTCTTAACACTCCCCTATAGAGTGAATGGCTTGCAGCCCCAGGGAGTCTATCAGACTGTAGAGGGGCTATTATACAAGCTACTCAGTAAAGAAAGCTGTCACTTGAAACACAATTTCTTAATTTTTTCTAACAAAATATACAGGCTGAGTTTTAGTGGATGTCTTGTGTTTTAAGATCAACATGTATTAAAATACAGGGCTACACTGAAGGCCTGGAGAATTTTAGATTCTAAATAAGGGAACAAAAATAGAAAAACAGCCAGGGTAGAATTATAAATAAAATGGTCAGTATAAAGATACTTTTATGGTTTTAATTCATTATAAAAAATGAATGAATTAATAAAAAATTATTTGACATTTGTTATCTAGAGATTTTAACTTGTTCAGTCGCAAAATACTAACCTGACCAGATTTCACAAGCACTGGACATCAATACTTTTTTCCCCCCATTATATTTGTGTGCTTAGTCTACACTTAAAGATATGCATTTCGTTTATTGATTTGAATTACAGAAAAAGGGACCACACTTGTACTGTGTGGAACGACAGGAGTCCACTGTTCGCTTGTAGATGATGACACAAGTTCCCTCTTAGATAGCATGGAGCGATAATCACACTCCAACTTGTGTGAAAATAATAAATAAGCAAATTTAATCATACTTTTGAGACAAAATAAACTAACTAAATAGTCTCTTTATTTTCTATACATTCTTTTGAAACAAAATATAAAGGCTGAGTTTTAGTGGATGTCTTGTGTTTTAAGATCAACATGTATTAAAATAAAGGGCTACACTGAAGGCCAGGAGAGTAAAATGAATTGTAGATTCTAAAAACCGGAACAAAAATAGAAAAACAACCAGGGTAGAATTAGAAATAAAATGGTCAGTATAAAGATACTTTCTTTACGGTTTTAATTAATTATAAAAAAAAGTATTAATTAATAAAAAATATTTGACATTTGACATCTAGAGCTTTAAACTTGTTCTGTCCCAAAATACTAACCTGGCCAGCTTTCACAAGCACTGGACATCAATAAATTTCATTATATTTGTGTGCTTAGTCTACACTTAAAGATATGCATTTCATTTATTGATTTGAATTACAGAAAAAGGGACCACACTTGTACTGTGTGGAACGACAGGAGTCCACTGTTCGCTTGTAGATGATGACACAAGTTCCCTCTTAGATAGCATGGAGCGATAATCACACTCCAACTTGTGTGAAAATAATAAATAAGCAAATTTAGTCATACTTTTGAGACAAAATAAACTAACTAAATAGTCTCTTTATTTTCTATACATTCTTTTAAAACAAAATATAAAGGCTGAGTTTTAGTGGATGTCTTGTGTTTTAAGATCAACATGTATTAAAATAAAGGGCTACACTGAAGAGTAAAATGGATTTTAGATTCCAAAAAAAGGAACAAAAATAGAAAAAACCAGAGTTGAATTATAAATTAAATGATTAGAGGTAAGATACTTTCTATTCAGTTTTAATTAATTGTTAAAAAGTATTTCACATCAGACTTTGACTACAGCTTTAAACTTGTTCAGTCCTAAAACACTAAACTGACCAGTTTTCACAACCACTGAATGTCAATACATTTTGTCATCATATCTATGTGCTTAGTCTACACTTACAGAAATGCATTTTATTTATTGATTTGAATTACAGAAAAAGGGACCACACTTGTACTGTGTGGAACGACAGGAGTCCACTGTTCTCTTGTACATGATGACACAAGTTCCCTCTTAGATAGCATGGAGCGATAATCACACTCCAACTTGTGAGAAAAAAATAAATAAGCAAATTTAATCATACTTATGAGAAGAAACTAACTACAGAGTGTCTTTATTTGGTATAATCTGTTATTGTAAGAAAATATAAAGCCTGAGTTTTTATTGAAGTTATTTTCAACAAAATACAAAGGTTGAGTTTTAGTGAAATTCCTAAATTGTTTCAAGCTTCAGACTACTAAAATGATAGACTACCCAGTAGACAGCAGAATGAGTATTTTAAAAGCACAAAAAGTGAAAGTAAAAACAAAATGAATACAAAGGTCAGCTGCAAGATCTCTTCATTTTTAATCAATGGATTTAATGCTGTTAATTATCATGATACATGACCAGTGTTTGTATGTGTCCTAAATCTATATTTAGGAAGTTGTTGCTCGCAAACACATTGACAACAGACCTGTCTGTCAATTGAATAGTTAGTTTCCTAAACACCGCTGCACAAATCTATCCAACACAATGTTGTCAATGTCGGAGACCCACCTTCAAAAAAGTTATCAGCAAGCATGTAAGGAGCCTAGCTAATAAGGATAGCTATGTTAGTTTTTGAATACAGCTGTCAAAGTTAGAACGCTGTGCATAACTGGTAGTCAGTAGGTGTGGCCGAGATGAGCTACTTTTGTACAGTTGAAATCACATCATGTCGAAACTAAAGTGTGAAATGTTGAAAAGGTTAGTTTAGCTACAAATGAACAAGTTCATATGTGCGTGTTTAGGTTTTATGATGTGGTAATTAAGGGGCTAAATGAAGCCTGTCTCTGAAAAATTGAAAATCTTTCTAAAATGCTTCGGCAGTACATTTGTTCTTAGCCTTAGAGAAAGGTCCACAGAGACATTCAGACACACTTTACAAATAATATGAAATAAGCAAAATGGACAATTCGAAAATTATAATCTAAACCAAATATATAAGCTGTAGTGTTGTTGTTTTTGTTTTTTAGAAAAGTGTCACCAGCAATGTTCTCATTGTAGCTTTTTGAAATGTGGGGTTAAACATTTGTTGGCGAATAGAGAAGCATATTTGAGGGCTGTCAAATGGTGCAGCATCGTAACAATGGAACTTAGAGTTTGCATCAACTGGAGAACACACAACCAGTGCTGCATTAAGTTCACACTGATATTTGGCAGGTATTTGTCTTTATAGATTTTTACATCTCAATATTTTCAACTTCTTTCTTTAGCATGTACAGTTTAAATGTGTGTTAGTGATTTTAATAGCCATTGAAATAGTGATGAGTTACCTATAGATCATCTCAGAACCATCACAACGTTGGATGGCTATTCATAACACAAGTTGTTCAACCACAAATAGAAAACAGTACAAAATATACAGAACTATGTTGAAGCAAACTTTATTGAATGTGCTTTTAAGCTAAGACACACACAAACTCCTAAACTGAAAGTTCCTCATGTGCCCACCCTCTTCTGTGTTCTTACACTGAACAAAATTATAAACGCAACACTTTTGTTTTTGCCCCAATTCCTCCGGTGAGTATGCTGGCCATGCAAGAAATGGGATGTTTTCAGCTTCCAGGAATTGTAATCCTTGCAACATAGGGCCGTGCATTATCATGCTGCAACATGAGGTGATGGTTGTGGATGAATGGCACAACAATGGGCCTCTGGATCTCGTCATGGTATCTCTATGCATTCAAAATGCCATCAATAAAATGCACCTGTGTTTGTTGTCCATGAAACACGCCTGCCCATACCATAACCCCACCGCCACCATGGGCCACTCGATCCACAACTAGGACATCAACAAACCGCTCACCCACACGAAGCCATACACACGTCATCTGCTCTGCACAGTGAAAACTGGGATTCATCCATGAAGAGAACACCTCTCCAAAGTGCCAGACGCCATCGTATGTGAGCATTTGCCCACTCAAGTCGGTTATGATGGCAAACTGCAGTCAGGTCGAGACCCCAAAGAGGATGACGAGCATGCAGATGAGATTCCCTGAGATGGTTCCTGACAGTTTGTGCAGAAATTATTTGAGGATGCTAAACGATTCTTGCAGCAGCTGTCCGGCTGGCTGGTCTCAGACAATCTTGGTGGTGAAGATGCTGGATGTGGAGGTCCTGGGCTGTTGAGGGAATAGAGAATCGGTTTGTTATCAAACCCAGACATTTGTTTTATAGTACTTTAATGCCACTGTGTAATCGTTGAGGACTTCTTTAGTACCATAACAAGGAGCACTCTCAGAACCGGGCCCCTTCTTTGGAGTCAGTGATGTGTCTTCAAATATATTCCTGCAAGAATTCTCCTGGCTCAGTGTTTTTGGTGGTGATTTTTATACTGATTAAATGAATTATCTGTCAGTCTGTCTGTCATCAAATTCCATGAACGACCAACACTATCTCAGCAGTTCTAACACTCGATGAGGATCTTATGCAATGTCACCCTAAGGGTTTGGATTTGTATCTACATTTATATAATACACATCAAAATTGTACACTATGTATGATGGCAGTGGGTATTTCTTATTTTAATTGTTGCCTGCTTAGCTTGACTGACTTGCTGAGAGTTGAATGACAAGATCAATATTGTTCTCATATCTGAACACAAAATCAAGCTATGCCTTTAAACCATTTTCAGGTTGCTCCTTACATGGCAACATATAACTATATATAGTGTATAATACTATGCACACACTTAACAATGCTCCATTTCCTTATAATTCATTAGCAACCAAGAAAGTTGTAGTTAAATACAG